TTGTCTCTGTTTTTTGCCCTTTATCACCATTCCTCTTCCCCGCTGTTTTTCTTCCCCTACCTCTCTTTCTTTCTCCCTTTTCTTCCCCCAGTATGTAGCAAGTAAAAGCAAAATAAAATAAACAATAAAAACAAAGGTGAATCAAATGAGCCCGGGATGGTCCATTTGGTAAAGTATATCCATTGGTCATCTTTGTTGGCCTTTAGACAATAATTCTTTAGACAAGAAGCAAACGGGACAGGCGGGAAAAAAACCAAACAATGTAATGCGCGTGAAATTATCAGATTAAAACTAATAAAAATATTTTTAAAAAGAGACTTTTCCATTAGATTCAATTTTATACGATGGATCATGCAGAAAAAATAGAATTGGGCTGAAAGATCTCTTGCTTTAAGTTACTAGTAACCAATTACTTTTGAAAATAAGTAATCAGTAAAGCAATGGGGAAAAAAAAATAAGAGGTGGTGCCACTCAAGGTTAGTTTCAAACCAAGTTATGACTAAGACATCTCTTTCTCTAATATTAAAATTTGTTTGATGATCTACAACATGCAATTATGATAAATATGCAAAACAAATAGAAATCAGGTGACTACAGAAGACTGTGTTTAAATGATATGCATTAGAAACAGAACAAAAGACCTGGTCTTGGAAACAACTTAGGGCTAGGAAAGCTGAAGGTTCCTGAAGGATCAGACCTATGCTTCTATTTTGGTTAAATGGATGCTGGAGGTGCTTGGTGTTGACAGGTGAATTATTCTGAACCGAGTGCACTGGGTCAGGCTGAAGAGAAATGCTGCTCAACCAAGAACAATGGTTGAGCAGTATTTCCTTAAACATAAGGAAAAACTGAATGTAACGTATAAAAAGAAATCGTTTTTTTTACAAGATTGTTCTTAGATCTGGTATGAGGAACCCTAAAGCAACACCAGACATACGATTCAGTTCACCAGCAGCTACAGAGACTGGACACACCATACAGAGCGACTATACCAGTGAGGCTGTAACGAACACCCTCTACTGCATCTTTAACTGAGGGATGCACTGAATTTAGTTTATAAAACTAGAAAAACACGACACTTTTGACTGCTATGAAATATTAAAACAATCATCATCTTAACTACAATTTTTACAGATTTTTACAGAAACAACAAATGAAGGTATGAGCACATATTTACTTACAGAGCTTTGTTGGAAGCTTTGACCACTGGCAGCAGCCTCAGAAGAGCCTCCTCTGAAGCAGAGTATTTCTTCAGGTCAAACACATCCAGATCTTTTTCTGATGACAGTAAAATAAAGACCAGAGCGGACCACTGAGCAGGAGACAGTTTATCTGTGGAGAGACTTCCTGAACTCAGGGACTGTTGGATCTCCTTCACTAGAGAACAATCATTCAGTTCATTCAGACAGTGGAGCAAATTTATGCTTTGCTCTGCAGACAGATTCTCACTGAGCTTCTCCTTGATGTACTGGACTGTTTCCTGATTGGTCTGTGAGTCACATCCTCTCTGTGTCAGCAGACCTCGAAGGAGAGTCTGATTGGTCTGCAGTGAAAGACCCAGGAGGAAGCGGAGGAACAAATCCAGGTGTCCATTTGGACTCTGTAAAGTCTTGTTCACAGCACTCTGGTAGACCGATTTTAAATTGCTAATTTTTCTAAATAATTTAAACTTCTTAGTAGTAATTTGTTGTTCTTCCAGCAAATTGAGTCCAGAGTTGATGAAGGTCAGATGGACATGAAGAGCAGC